GGCAAGAGAAATTTGCCTAAGCAAATTTTATTTGTATTCAATATTTGTTGCTTAGGCAAAATTCTAAGCAAGTGCTGAGCAAAAAATTTATGAATTTCTGTATTCAATATGCACAAATTCCTAAATTTTTTGCCTAAAGTTATTCCAGCTCGGAGGTGGAATAACGACTTGCGTAACTTTAATTTAGTTCAAAAAAATATTTATTTCTTTAAAAATGGCCATTCCATTATTTGTCCTGAACAATGAGCGCAATCGGGTTTATAAACAACGTCGACTCCTTGAAAGTCTCTCCGAATTTGAAATAAGGAAACATACTGGTTTGCCTTGGTGGGGAGCTCGAGAGCTTATTGAGTGGATTGAACCGGAAGTTGAACCACTGGCACGGAGAAACTACGCGACACCGGCGGAGACGAAAATTCTTACAACATTGGGTTTTTTTCGATCTGGGTCATTCCAATGGATGCTAGGAACTGTTTCCGGAACTTCCCAGCCTTCGTGCAGCCGAATAATTGCGGAGGTACGCTTAAAAAATGGTCTTTAATATGTTGCAGTTTGAACTTTCAAAATTTATTTCGAACACGGTCAGGTGTCATCTACTCTGCAGGGTCATGCAAATGAAATGATCAGATTCCCAGCAAGTGTGGATGAACGAAATATCGTGTCAAACGCATTTTATCAGGTCGCAGGTCTACCGAACGTGATTGGCATTGTTGACGGAAGCCACGTTCTTATAAAGGCTCCAACTGACCACGGCGGAGTTTACATTAACAGAAAACAGCGTCATTCCATTAACGTACAGATAATATGCAATCACCAGGATAAAATAACTGATATCGTAGCGAAATATCCTGGTAGCAGCCATGATAGCTTCATTATGAGGAACAGTGCGATTTGTCATCGGTTTCAGCGAGGAGAATTCGGTAACAACGTTTTGATAGGTAAATTATATAACAAATACATTTAAAACAATTAATTAATTAAAAATTAAAGGTTGAAAATTAATTAAAAATTAAAATTAAAGGCGACATTTTTAAAAGACAATCAAATCCGTTAATGATGCATTTTTTAAATGAATAAGCAACTTATTTAGCTAAGTACTGTAGTAATTAATTACAAAAGCACATAATTATTATTAGCTAGGTAATTAATAACAATTGTTTTTGTAATTAATTACTTCATTAACTGTATGGAACAATACTCAAGGCAAAATTAATCAGTAGTTTAACTGATAATGCGCTCTAAGTACTTTAAGGTAATGTAATTGTAATAAGTAATTAATAACTTTGCGTCAATTGATACGTAAAGCAATTAATTAGCATTATCTAATTACCTGATGTTAAAACTAGAATGCGTATTACATAAAATCTTGATGTGTGAGATACTTTGTTTAAAAATAGTAAGAAATTGCAACAGATTACACTAATTAATTATGCTAAACAGTTGTCAGTTGTAACAACATTTGAATTTACGCATTTCAAGGGAGAATAATTTCGCAAGTCACCAATAGAGTGCGGAATTATAGTAAATACAGATTATCCGATATCCGATCCGATATCCGAAGTATCCGTCGGATTGATCCGATCGGATAAATAGCCTTATCCGATCCGATCCGAAAGCTCTCGGATATTTTTATTTACGATCCGATCCGATGATTATCCGATCCGATCCGACGGATCGGATATTCTCGGATCGGATAGACCAACCCTAATAGTAGGTTTTACGAAATCCTACAGATATCGCTAAGAAGTCAGATAGAAGATATCTTTCAACCTCCCCGAATGACATGAATTTCATATCGTGGCGATTGATAACGTTTCTGGGGTATGGATGAAATCCAGTTAAATTACGTGTATCAGAGTTGTGCCACACCCCCTCGGCGCCAGGGGGTGTGGTCACGGTGTCACAATTTGGGCAAAACATGTTTTTTGGTGTTGTCGACATGTCGCAATGTGGCGACTAAGGTCACGACCCAGCATTCTCAGCATTTTTGCCGCACTTTATTAAGGGGTGAAAACCCCTTTATGGGAATGTCTTGTCTGTCTGTCTGTCCGTCCGTCCGTATCCACGATAACTTTAGAACGGATGCGAATATCGAGATGCGGTTTTCGCCAATGTATTTCTAATTTTTAAAGTACGGATGAGTTCGAAGATGGGCGTTGTAGGTATTAAGGTCACGGCGCCATGGCGACGACGCCGTGTCGAATAGGTGTCGAATTTTTTGTTTCGACGGTTTTAGACGTATTTTGGGACGGGGATTTCGAAAATCGACATGGTTTTGACGTACGATGACCGTGTGACCGTGTAGACGACGCCATGTCGACAAACTGAATTATGTCATGTGAGGTGTCTATCGAAAGGCATAGTCGTGTACGTTCAAAGTACGCGGGAGTTATGTCGACACGGGGCGAAATGAGACGTGGGGTAATGTGAGACAATTGGGGAAATTTACGGGAAAGTATTGAAAGACGATGTGGGTGTGCCACAAGGACATTTACGTGTGTTTTCACCCCTTTGCGACATTTCGTTTGCAACGGTTTATTTGTTTACCAGTTGGAGCAAAGTTAAACTCTGGAAGTATAACGGGTTGGACCTGAGAGATAAAGTTGAACGGGGGAGAGACCTTCATCAGGGCGATGTCGTTTTCGTATCGGAATGGCGTTCCATACTCCGGGTGAGTTATGATCATTACGGCCTGACGGGTCTGCTCGGTCCCTTCCACGACGTTGATGTTGTGGTCACCAATAGTCAAACTGTAGTCTGCAAGACTCCGTTAAGTATTTTTTTAAATAAGTAGATATTTGTTAATCTTACCAGATGGCGCCGCGGTTGTGCAATCAGCAACCGTCACAACCCACTCCTCATTGATGAGGGAGGCTTAAGAAAATTAATTTGTTTCAAATTAGCTCGAATTCTCATTTTGCCCCATATATTTGCACATGCAAGTATGTACCTCCACACCAGTGACCGCCACGTCGCATGTCGACCATGAAGGGGAAATCGTTCGGGATGGCTTCCACTCCGCCCACAATATTGCCAAGGTTAAGACCGGGGAAGCCGAGGGGTTGGGTTTCCTTCTTGGGCATGGCTAGAAAGGGGAAAGTTGGGTAATTAACATTTTTGGAAACTTAAGATTAAAAAAATTACAGATTTTCAATTCAGAATTTCCTAAGCTTACCCTATGCCATGGCGACGAGGGCGAGAACAATGGCAGCCTTCATTTTGCAGCTTGTAGTTCAGTTCACTCAGGGAATGAAATGCTCGATTAAATTAGTCCAGTTTTATAGCGGGCCCCCGATTTGGGGCAGCCTGATCTCACTATTTAGGTTATGTAAGTTCTCTCTTGGGAAAACCTTAGAATTGTTTGTGATAAGTCGAGATGATTTATCGGATCCAGGCGACATGATTACGACTTTTCACATTACATTTTCATTACATACATTTCCCACCGCTTCAGCACGTCAGGAATGAGTACGTATATTTTTAACGCAGTGTAGTATGAGAAGTTTTGTAACAAACTGATATCGCAATTCATCACTGGGGTGAAAATAATCAGGAATAATCTCGACAATTCATGATTAATATATTTTTTGTTGCGTTAATTTCCAGCCGTGCCTGAATTTCCGTGACTTATATAACTTATTTTTCGGGGATTTTTTATCTCATTTACAAAGATCGATTTCCCGTTACGATGCGTTGGCATACCATTCACTCCAGTGGAAAGTTTTTGCTATTTATCAGTGAAGGCCCTGCAAGGTTTTATGTTCAAAATTAACCCAAATTCTGTTATAATAGGGTTTCATACATATTGAGCGTTGATGGAAATTTGTCATCATTTCCGGGGGAAACATAATAGGCTACTTTTCACGAGTGCAATATTTTATGCAACCATTTTTTATTAGACATGCCTTACTACCGTATTTGAACTTCCTACCGTAATTACGCCAATGATATGGGCTAGTTTTTCTAAAATTTTCTTCTGGTATTACATTCCAGTTTTGTTTAAACTTTTGTTATTAATTCCTTCGTCTTCGGTGGGTTCGCATCTTGGCATATATTTTCCATAAATATGTAGAGACCAAATGTTCTCTAGGGTACTTAAATCTTGACAGTCACGCCATAATTTGATTTAGTTCTAAACAGAAAACCTTGAAATACCTTAATTGATTAATACAAACTGCTTAGCTTTCCACAACAGTGAATGGTATGCCAACACGTCATATCGGGAAGCCCCTAAATTTATATTTGTAAATGAGATAAAAAATCTCAAATAAGTTACCTAAGTGGCAGTACCTAAGCATATTTATTACTCTACGCACTTTTTCAAGTCGACTGGAGTCTTTATATGTGAGAAAATAAAAACTTTCTCATGTTTCTTCCAACATCAATAATATTAGGCTAAAAAATTGCGTACTGATTTGGTGCTCACCACAGCTTAAATATTTTGACTTTTGAGATAAATAAATGCGACAATTGTAAAACTGTTTTGGAACAGGTCTTTCCAAACAATTCATCTCCTATGCCTACATATTTACACACTGCCTAAGTTCCCGAATACCTTGTATAATCTTTCAAACAATACCCTACTTTATGCAAAATTTACTTACTACAATACTTATCGACAAATTACGTTTTGGGCATCGAAATCCAGAATAACGCATGTATAAATATCCAGGCATTCTCATTAATAACTAAAGCGAGCGAGCAGACGATGGAGGTTTCATCATGAAAACCCGCATAGCATGGCGAAGCAAGCTCAACTCGAACCTTGAGAATTTTTAGCCTCGTGGTGACAAGGTTTAGAACAGCACCACGACCCGGAGATTGTACTCCGCAGAAAGCTTCTATCCCAGCGAATGCATTCTCCCTACGTGTACATAACTTTTGACCAGCAAAATCTTCATTGGGTCCCGAAATTAATCTTTGCAGTGTGTTGATTTATTAGTAGAATAACTTTAACAAATCTTATAAATAAAATTAGGTTACAATGCACAGAAAAAATATAGTTGTTATGCTTTTTTATGTTTATTAGTCATACTTCCTGTACAAATATTTTATAAAATATAAGTATTTTCTAAATAACTCCTTATACACAAAATCCTAATTTTTTCTACATTTACTAACATTGAATTTACATTTAGTACAACATTTTCGAATTATTTCATGAACTTTCTTCATTTAACTCCCATCTCTATTCCTACAATTAATATTTGCAAGGTCAACCAGATTTCATAGTTTTTTTTAAAATTTATTCCAATAAACAATTTCCTAACTAACCATTCAAATGTGATGTATTTTACAAGTGAGCCAATAACTGAAGTACAGCGTCAACCACTAGCGGAACTAGGGTAGGCAGGGTAGGCATCGCATAGGGGCCCCCACGAAGTGGGGGCCCCCAAACCTGTTCGTAACGTTTTTTTTTAATTTGTTACACGATGAAGTTCAAGACCTGAACAGTAGCGAAATTAAGGGTAAAAATTTCAGACGGGCTATTCAAAAAATCGAATTCAAGCTTTGCTAAAAAATTATATCAAATTTTATATTATAAGTTAATTCGAAAATTTCTGAGATTATACTGAATTGATATTGGCTGGAATGAGTAGAAAGTAGTAAATGCTGCATAGTAACAAAAGTATTGTGTGGGGCCCCAGGAACCACGGAATGGGGGCCCCATACCTTTTCAAAATTAAAAAAAAATTGTTACACCATGAAGTTAATCACCTGAACGGTGGCGAAACTAAGGGTAAACATTGCAGAAGGGATACTCAATAAATCAAATCAAAATTGTGCCAAATTTTCTATTATAATTTAATTCGAAAAATGCTGAGATTCGAGTCAATGAATATTGACTTATATGCGTAAAAAGTAGTAAGTACTGCATACTATGCAGTGCATAGTAGCAAGGAAAAGTAGTTTGCCAGGGGCCCTAACAATCAAAATATTTGGTTCTTAGGGCCCCAGCCTGGGGCCCTAGTTTTGGTCCGAAAGTTGCTACAGAGCTAAAAAGCATCAGAATGGCAGCCAAAAGTTGAGAAAATTATTTAATAGCAGTTTCTTATTTGGCCGTAAAAGTTATTGAAATTTCCCAATTCTCCAATTCCAAACACGAAATTTTGACATCACTATATTTTTTGGGCGCGCCGCTTATATAATTTTATATTTGGAAAACAAAAACTAACTTGCATTAAATCATTTCCTCAAATTTTGATCGCCGATGTGATGCTTTTAACCGTGGTAGAAAAGGTTTTGATTGTTAGGGCCCCAGCCACAATCAAAGCGCCCAAGATTAGTAAAAGGTAAAGGTTGGAGTATTGACTTGGTGTGAATAAAACTTTATTACTTTTCATTACTCTACATTACTTTACATTTATCTAAATAAAAAAAATTTTTGTCGCGCGCTGCCCATAAGTGCTTTGCCACTCTTTTCTGCTACCTTTTTTGAGAAATGTGTCCATATCTGTCGGAATCCTCACAAATTTTTGGCTGGTTTTGTTCGTCTATACTCACTATATTCTTTCTTGCATAAACCCCAAAATCTGTCAATCGGTCCTATGTGGGTGGAATGTCGGGGGATTGTTCACTTAACCTATCTCAATTGCATGTTAAATCGTTTATCGCCGAGCAGAATATTGGAATTGGGTTTGCATTTAAATGAATTTTAACCTGTTTTCTTATTAGTGGATGAGTAGTACTTTATTCCAGGTACTCCATTTTAATCAATCGGACGGTAGGTTTCGTTATCCATGACCATAATGACGGGCGTGTTTTGCGCGACTCTTTTCCAGCAATCTTCCGACAATTCGTCTTGGCTCTTTTTTCTTGACCTTGGTTGTATTTTGGTGCAGATATTACCTTATAAGATTTGATTCCCAACTTCTTGGCTTTGAAGTTATGCAAAGTTGATTAGCAATTTTCAATTTCTTACTCAAATTTCGCTCAGATACTCCAGGGTCTTTTTTGGATTCCTTCTGAACTCTACGAATCACCTTGTGGGTCATCACACGAGCAGGGCGGCCATTTGATTTTTTAGTTTTATCACTCCTCCCTTCCTCATACATATCTCAAATTCGGCAAATTGACCCGGACAAATTTTTTCACTTTTGAAGTGGTCAGAAATCTTTTTCCGCACGCGTCCGCACACATTTTCGTAGTGGCAAATACTTTTTGCGAGTTGTTCTGAATTTTGTGTTTTCATTTTTGAACGGTTTGAGATATCGGATTTTGGTTTTCTGATGTTGATTGTCAATCGTATGGGCTATGCAACTACTTCGCTCCTACTCAATGGCATTTTTTTCATGTAAATAAATGCATTTTCAAAAATTTTCTATCTCTTCCGACCATAACTTAGATTTATCTATAAACCCCTGCTTGTCCATAAACTCTACATTTACATTTACAAACATTTACTATTGCCTGAAAACCAAGTAAATTGACGAAATAAAGAAATTTTTTCCCATGGTAAAAATGATTTCACACAATGAAAATAAGTTAAAACCGTCAGAAGTGTTAAAATTTAGTTAAGACGGTTTTATTTGCAATAGGGATTGAGAAAACTAATATTTTTGTTAGTTTCAAGTTGGTAGAGCCGACTAAAATTAGTAGATCCCAAATTATGATTTTTTTACCAATAAGCCAATTTTACGCGGAGGAATTTGGAAATCATGCAAAATTTCAGCCAGGATTTCAAGTTTTTTTAAATACTTGTCAAACCGTTCGAATTTTGACGCCGTTAAAGAAATCGATAGCATGCAATGATGTAACCACCCGCCTAGAATTTACGAGAACAAAATTGAGAAAACGAGAAAGCTAATGTGCATTCGGTCCAACAAGAATTAGATCCCAACTAGCATTTTGCATTTAAATTCCTCCGAATACGTACATTATGACAGATCAAAAGCTTAAAAATTAGGAAATTCATAGATTTTTTATCAATACACAAATCGTCAAAAAATGTCATTGTCCCCTTGCTTTTACTTCTGGCAACCTGATGCCAGATCTTTCTACTTGAAAAGATCCATATTTTCAGCTTTTGTTGTCCGAAGCAGACTGACGAAAACCATGCTAAATTTGTGGTCCAAATTGCACTTACGTTTAAAAAAGTAAGTTTAAAAAAATTTTGAATATCGCCCCAAATTTAGGACTTAAGTCAAAACTTAAATTGAATTTGCAAATCATGATATCGACTTGCAAATCGACCCTACGCATGTACATGCCATGTACACCCTATGTGCATGGCTTTTCAATGCGAATTTCTTAATACGATATTATAATTCAACGTTTCTAGTTTAATCATACGAATTAAATAGCAAATTACCTTGGTCAGAAGCAAGTTTATGCTTTCCTAAACATTAAAAAATTTCTGTTGTCAAATCAGCCAGGAACAGGGGCCCCCAGCGAACCCCTGCCTACCGGCCCCAAATTTATAGTTCCGCTACTGCGAAACTGGTATGAAACCATTACACTGATGAAATGCTTACAAGTAGCATAGAAGGTACTAAATAATTCAAATGTTATAAGGCGTAATACAAAAAGAGTTCGGATATTATAACGAAATGCCAAACAGAGCAGACAGTAATATTTTTCCAGAAAGCAGTCTTATTAAAAAGTGATATTAGTTTCATTACGACTATACTAGCTAAAAATCGAAATTTTCTAAACTTTCTCTTGTTGCATTTTGTCTCACTGGTTGTTTTCTTCGTCACCATTTCTTCCACATTTTGTGAAAGATCGGGTTTGTCCGACGGTCTATTTGACGATGCCGATTTGACCTTCATATTTACTCCAGAGTGCTTTAAGATCCTCAATGTGGAAGGCGACTTCCCCTATTTTAATTATCTTCGAATGAAGAATCCTTACACTCCACTCCGTCACCTTATCCTGTGTCAAATGGGGTCAGAATTTTATTTAACCTACGGCAACTCCGTGACCCCGTTTATGTATCGCGCCACGGAAAAATCTGCACGACCAAAAGCTATTTTCTTACCTAGGTTACCCACCGCGTATATGAAGTCATACGGAAAATTGAAGTGTGAATACTTGTTAGTCCTTGCTGACAGGGTCTATAGGCAGGATTACGTCTTCGTTCAAACAAACGAAACGACATGTTTTACACATTCTGCTGAGGTGATATATAGCGCGAAGTTTTTAATATACGAAAAGAGTATGACGTTACCTCTACTAATTCCGTGCGTTGCGTGTAATCCGATCGTATTTTCAAAACTGAAGAGTCACACATTACCAGGAATCCGTAAGGCTTGGGATGTTCTGAACAGCAACATGCACAATCAGTTGGCCTTCGTAGAACATTCAATTGACGCAACGTGTGGTCTGGTCCATACTGGATTTGTAAATTTAGACGACCCATACTACTGTTACACTGCAGCATTTGCTGAAAAACATAATCTAACCCTAGTTGATGTAAATACCAAGTCAGACTATTCAAGTGGGGTTAAGAATTTTGGTATCGCATTATGTGGACAGGCCAATTCGGTCTATCCTGACCAGCATGTTTACAAAGTGAGAATCGAACCCTTCAACTTTGTCACGTTGACGAACCCAGCGACCTCTGCGAGTGGGATGGCGACCCGGGTTTCGCCCTTCGACCAAGAGACGTGGATTTGTCTGCTGGTCAGCGCTGTTTTAGTAGCTGGCTATTTAGCTTGGGTTAATTGGTGTGGTGTGAAGAAAGACTCTCACCGTGGCTTAGCGAAGATCTTAGTAATAGGCATTCTTCTAGGACAACCAAGCGGGGATTCTGGAAACGTGGACATGGTCACGCTCATTTTTTGGCTGTTTGGGAATTTTTTTTTGATGATGAATCTCTATCAAGGGTTGATCTATTCGTGTATGGCTGTTCTCATCCCGCCCCAAACACCCCGCGGGCTGGATGAACTGCTGACTTGGAAAATTCCCATGGTAGCGGTGGATGGTGGCGAAGATGTCAGTGGCACGTATCACACATACCTTACGGAATTTGTCATTCCAAAAACAAACTCGGGAAACGGATGGAATCAACAATTTACTGACTCGTATACCACACTTCAGGAAAGAGTTTTGTCCATTGGTACGATTTCGGTGGAAACAATGTTGCAAAAAATAATGTCTGAAAACACAACCAGAAAGCATGAAAGTATCGCGCTATTTGTATCTCAGAGAGGATTAGAAAACTACGTGAAAATGGTACATTTGTTGGGTAATCGGAATACTGTAAGGAATAAGGAGGACACGCCCTTGCAGATGGTAGTTTACCATGTTGGGCCCCAAAATTTGCTAGTGTCTTACTTTTCCAAGGAATGGGAGCGGATTGAGGCCTCTGGTTTAAACCAAGTGTGGTTGGAGATGTTCCTAATTAACTATTGGTTACGGAAGAAGTGGTTG